ATTGTAAATAATTTGAATCACACTAAATTACTATTGCCACTTAAAAATAAAATTTAGAGGAAAAGTTTTTTTGTCCTCCGACCTGTGCGAGCAGAGTGATTGGCTTACTAAAACTCATTTCCAGAAGCACCCAAAATTAACCCTACCAAGTAATATAAATATAATAAAAGTATAAGGAAGCTTGTGGGGAACTCATAGAAAATTGTACAATGGTCCAAATTTTCAAACCAAAACCTGGTTTCTTTAATTAGAATATACTTATGATTAGATGATCACTCTCAGTAGGAACTTTTTCATACTAGGTCGTTTGAGTGATTTCACACAATGAGATGGGCAGGCCCTACGATGCCATTAAACTTCACCTACCCTTGCCTCACAAAATTGAATTTGGCGCGATGTGGCTCGCCTTGAGGGCCACATCTGCTTTGTGGTCCACTACGTCCCTGCGGTTTGTAGTGAAGTGGCAACGTTTCCACGAAACTTACCACCCGGTATCGAATCCTAATAGGAGGACGAGGTTAAAATTGCAGTTTATCCCAGATGGGAATACTTTTGAGGAGGCAAGACTAAGTGAAATTCATTGGTATTATGATGCCTAGTCATCACATTGTGTGAAATCTCACCTATTAGACCTTAAGTCACCTCAAGTGACCTAAGGTAAACACGTTCTAATTCAAGAATTACCGATAGTCTCAAAAACTACTCACATTCAAAATATTCGCTTCATATTTATAAAATATTCTTTGCATGAGATACTTAAATTATGCTCATTTTTAGGGATGAAATTCAAAATGTTTAGCAGAGAAAGCTTAGTTAACTTCAGTAAAGTGAATCGTAATGTACTTTGTTTTTCTCAAAAATATATCTGGCTAAGAGAGATAAAAGCATAATCGCAATTAAGAGACCATAAAGTTTCAACAGGCTTACGGCCTTGAAGTTACTATCACATCTATGTATGGCAAGGTCGAGTTATCATAAGTCAGTTGCTTATGTACAGAAATGGATTAGTAAAGCAAAAGTATATGAAAATAAATTTAAATTCCATTTTTGCACAAATAATTGGATCTTTCACTTGATCCTGCAAAGGAATTATCGACGCAGATATTCAGCCAACTATTGGATATAATTAATATCCGGTCTTGGAGCCAACCGCCTTCAGTCGAGACCTGACTGCTTCTTCCACAGCGCTGGTTACTGACTTGAAGCCAGACGGTATGATTTCTTGCAAATAGTCTGTCGTTGTTGTTGAGGTTCCTATCGAGCCCACAGGAGGTCGGCTAAGTGTCAAGGTTTGTGAGCGATGTCCGTTACGATCATCCGAGGATGGGTTTGAGCTGTTGCTTGTTAGTCCTGGAAATGCGAGGTCGAAGGTTGATAATACAGGAGTTTTTCCAGGATTGCCAATCGGATGGCTGATAGAATCTCTTTTTGTAGTACCTTTCTCTAAAAAACGTGAATGAGACTGTCCAAAATAAAATACATCTTGGGTAAGTCATTTGCCATACGAACTTTATTCATAACAGTCAGGAAATGAAGTTCATAAAATCAATCATTCTAGATTGAATTAATCGGATTCCTGGATAATTTGAATGTACATTTTATATTAATAAAACGACTATTATAGTGTGTGCGTAAAACAGAGTCTTGCGCTAAGCTGAATAATCCCAAAAATCGTCTAATTATATTGAAAAAGGCTGAAAGAATAAAGACTCCGCTTGTATTTTAATATAGCTGCAAAAATTTTAAATCTAATTTTGTATTGCATTTGAAACATATAAATGATAATGATTTTAAACTAAATGCTTACAAGTAATGGTTTTTTGTATGAAGATGCTAATATTGGGATGTATTCACCGTATTTCGTTTAAGGTTATGAAGGACTGCTAGTCGAATTTTCCCACAATGATATGAGTTAAGCTGACGTTTCCATTGCATTTCACATAGCCTTACTTTCCCCAAAGTTGTTTTCATACAGGGTGGACTGCAGTTTCGACCTCGTAACGGTCTTATTAACACCCTCAGCGGGAGTCGAACCGTAACATTGCAGAATGTTTTGATAGTCTCGAAACTCTACTTACATACGAGAAAGATGATAATCATGACAGAATTAAGGCCTAAAGCTCAGTCAAGCAATAGCTATATAAAAAAGCCAGTGATGACATCAATTTACAACTTGCTTAGAGTACGCTGGTTGTGCCATAGTGATTGACCACATAGGCAAGGCCTAGCATCTAAAAGTTTGGGAATTAGAGTCTAGGAGCTCTACTTGGGGAGGCTACAGTATATATGCTATAAAAGACTATAAGAAATATACCCTTAAGTAAAATGTCTACTGTAATTGGGACCGAGTAAATCAGTCAACCAGAAAGACAAGAAGGGGATTTCTGGGGCTATGATGAAGATTAGGATAGGAGGACCAAGTCAGATCAGCAATTCCAGAGAATCTGGGGAGGCGGCAAAGTAAACAAGCGAGTGTGATGGTGCGGTGAAAAATAATTAGGGGTTGTGATAGCAAGGGAGCGAGATAGAATGATTTTAGGTATGTAGATGTAACAGGACAGGAGAAGTAAGAACATAACCGTTGAAGTCAAGAGATTGGCCCTAATTTTGTATGATGAATTGTAACTTGATGCTAAGACTGGCAAGATTAACTGACGCTGCCGACCACTATGCCCGAGAAACGTCTGGGAATGTCCAAAGTCCATGGTCAAACGCTGGGAATTATCATAACTACGATAGCAAAGGACTTCCGACAAGGTGGCTTCATCCATATCGCCCTAGTAACATTACCAAATTGCGAAAACTAGCTCAAAACACTTCTAATAGCGAAAGGTGAGTGCGATGAAAATAGAGACCACAACTTTTTCCTGTATCAGAGAAGTTTAGCTGAATTGATAACATTATAGTTTAATGTAACACGCACCAATATATGATACAGTCGTGAATAAAAGAGGATAATTCGAGACCCTGTAATTTCATTTCACTTTTGTGACGAATTATTTTCTCTGAACTCTGTATTCATAGCAGATTAATCATTACCCATGGAAACATCAATTTATCAATGGGAAGCCCTCATTCCCAAGCAAACATTTTAGTGAATTATAACACAAAATCTGTGATATTTATAGTCGAATATCGTAGCGGTATGAGGATAGTCCAAGTGTAATACTTACGTTTCGCTTATTCATCATAACATAGTTCATTTTCCTCAAGTGATGATCAAATTCCAGGAGATAATGAGGAAATAGTGATCGCTCGTCAAATCTCGACATAAAGGCTGCCAGGATAAAGAAGTGAAAGCAGTTCAGAACTTTGAACTATAAATAATGGTTATTAAAATTATTTACAGGAAATAAGGGATCCAAAGAACATCTATTGGTATCATGAATAAAAATCAATATGAAGATACGATCTACACCGGGTAAAATTATGC